AGCAAATAACCAGCGAATCACGAAGGCTCGGTGGGCTCTTTCTCTTTCGTTATCGACTCTCTCCCTCTCTCTCTCTCTCTTGCTCTCTCTTGATATCTTTATTGGTGCTCGTAATTTATTACTCATGATTGCTGGTTTCGTTTGACCAACACGTTCGGCACTCCTTTCATCTTATCCAGGTCCTACGTTATCCTCGTGCCAGGATCTTTTCTAAATTTATCCTCGGAGCACGCGATTCCACTGGGACTACGTTAAAAAATAGATATCCAGCAGGTTTGCCAATGTGATGGTCGATCGGCTCCATGAAAAGCGTCACGCATTTAGTTTTTAGGTGGTTAGGGGGAAAAAAAATTAAATTTTTTCTAATATCTAATATGTGGCTTCTTTTTCTCATCGTCTGGTGCACTTATGGCTTATGGCAATTACAACACTTGTATTAAATGGCTGGGCAGTAGTTTTGTAAACATACTTGGAGTACACACTCTGACGCCCACACATGGCTCGTGTCAACTCAACACTGGTATTTTTAGAGAGCGGAAAAACGACAAATTAGGTTGGTTTGGCACTTGTGGCTGTAAACTACCCCAGAGTAAACAGCCACCGTTGCTCAGAATGCCGTCTGCACCCTCGTTTAGTGGGAGTTAATCACTTTTTTTTTTCAAGATAAGGGAATAATTGACTTTCGTCACTGTACCGTTTTCAACGACAGTGTCAACTGTCAGATAAATCTCTGTCAGTGTTAACGGTGACGTCAGTGTAAGCTATAAATATATAAATCTCGTATACTATTTTTCACCACAATTGTATCTTGGATCCTTGCAAGATCTTTGCCTGACAATCGAAAACGTTGATCGATACGAATATCGATTTGCTTAAATATTGAGTATTCACTATATTCTATAATTCATTTTTACTATTATTTAAGTTTGCATATGCAAATTCAATGTTTTCCTGGTGACAGGTGACCAGTTCTTTGCGCCAACATTCAATCGGCTATTGTGGTCCGTATTTTGAGAAGAATATTTCAATATTTTAGATTATATCTAGATTTATGCAAAAATTCAAGTCGTAATTCTGAACCGTGGGTACTTCTCTCTTTTTTTTTTATTATAAATAGGGATCTGCGGAAATAGTCGATGGAATCGAGCAGTCATAGAAACACGTGTCGTGGGGTCTATGGTCATGGGGCAGTATATTGACGAGATCAGAATTACCATTTTTCACAATTGGAGTTTACTTTTTTTTCGGCATATCTTTTTTTTCTAAGTGTCATCTCTTAAGACTTTTATACGTAAGGCGAAAGGCGATACGTTATTCTAGACTTCGTAGACGCATGTGGCACAGGAACGAGACTAGTTTTCGAGACTCTCTTATTTTCTTTCATTTCTTTTTCTCCCTTGCATTATTACTGTCGACGTTGAGTAGCTGTCTAAAAGCAGATAATAGAGATACTCGACCATTTTGTATTTTTTTTTGTTACTACCTCTCGTAACGCGTACTTTAAGTCCTTAAGGGATGAATGGCGCACAAATACAATTGCATTATACAAATCTTTGTAACCCATCAATGCACGCAATTAAATGCATTGAAAAATTCTATCGTCACTTTGGATCCGTTTGAACTTTTATTTTCTATTCTTCCTTGGTAGAGAAATTTCTTTTCCTCGAGCGCCATTGTGTGGGTACCCACAAGAAGAGCAATTTAATTGTTTAACGACAAAAGGATTAAGCAAAGAATAGGCTGTACAGTACTCGACAAAAGTCCACGCTCACGTATCCTTTGATCCTGCGGGTACATTAAAAGTGCGGCCAGCCCATCAGATGCAACGTTCGACGAGGAACTAACCGTTTTCTCTTTTATTTTTTATTCAACCTTTTCTTTCCGCTTTCGATAATAACCAGGATGTCGAATTATTTTCATGACTATAGAAAATAACAGTACTTATCCGTTCTCTCCGTTTATGCATCATGGCAAATAGCTGCTGCATCCTCTTCCGAGATTTTTTGTATATCTTTTGTGCTACCATTTTCTCCTCATCACAGATGAAAAATGCAAGATGTCGGAATTAATCAAAGCGTTCTAGGTTCATACAGTATTAGCACAAAGAAACTGCTGTTAGTCACGACTGTTTTATTAAATAATCCTATATCGTATCTGAAAACCGCAATAAGCAATAATAAAATGATCATTACACTGGCGAGTTGTTTTTTTTCCCTCTTAATTTACAATACAAAAAGTACAAAATATCCTATGAGAGGCTTGATTAGATATCGCTCGGCACAACCGCAAATGTGGATAAGGTTCGGAAGCCTCGTATGTGCAAACTTGATCGAGTTACGTTCACAAATGAATATTGGTAAAAATGACGCCCAGTCTCTATAATGATTCATGCCCAAAAATTCTGCGTCATCCGCCCGATAGTCTCCCCAACGTACGTTTAATGCTGACATTAATACTTATCTGTGAGACGAACCGTGCAAACATTCAATCAGCCTAGGCAATGCATACCCCGTACATTAAGCGTGGGTTAGTTGCGTCGGTACATACTATTGTTAAACGTAGTCCGTTGCAACAGGGAGTGATGCAAGAAATTGGTACTAAGGTACCAATTGAATATTCATAATAAATACCACTAGTACCAATAACGCTCGTTGTGATAACAGCGCATAACTTCATAATAGAGTGTGAAACAGTGAAATGGAGCGTGGCGCCTGTAGGCATGTTTACCCGGCTTACAAGTGTGTCTGACGGGTTGCATTCCGTTAAGGTGCCCAGGCTATAGGTAGAGTACGTGCTAAGCTGTTATAGTCTGCACGCGGTAGGACGTTATTAATAATAAACGAGTTAATAAAGCCACGCAATAGTCGCAAATTCATTAATGGCCAACATCCGTTAATTGTAATTGCGTTGTTCCTAATTAATCCGTTAAAGCTTCGAGTTTAATATAACAGCTATTAATTGAGGTACAGAGCTAACTACTTTTGTAGTCGAGATGTTGTGTATTGTGTTTAGAGTTTATTATGAGATTCGTTAGGATTTATTCTTGTAGTTTTTTCTTTAGTTTATAAGAGTTCCTTTCTTTTAAATTACGTTTCTTTGTACCTGCGTTCGTACGCTCTAGGTGCCAGGTGTGCCGCGTTGCTGTGGCTTTGCTGCTGGACATCGTAGACGGGAATGAAATCGTGGATAATGAAAGACGACGGCAAAGCCACAAAACCGCGTAATTCAATACTGGAGATCCTGGCGTAACCGCGGGCGTTGATGACTCGTTGCATTGCATGAGGGCGGATGCTATTGTTTTATTGGAAATTGTTGTAGTTTTGATCTAGATAGATGTTCGGTGCATTGAAACTTCCAGAGTGGAGTATGTGGCTGGGCTAATTGAATTTCAAAGAAATCCCTGATTAGCTGTAATCTTTGTTGTTCATTTTCGTACCCATTGTGCATAAACGGAACTTCTGATTAGTTTACGTAATAAAATCTTAATCTCATTACCTTACGTAATCCAGAATTTCAGGATTTGGTGCGTGGTGGCATGTATGGCTCTTTAAATTTTTAACATGGTTCATCCAAAAGTTGCGTAATGTATCAGGTGTAATTTCACTTGACAAATATCATTATCTCGTCTTATTATAGATATATCAAGCACTTGTAATGATGATTGTGTTAATATGCTTGTGAGGAGATTGATTATCTTTCGTTCGAAATGCGTATTTAATGTCATCTTAGGTTAACGAACAGTCATGCTTATATAGATATGACATTAGTTATATAACAGCTAGACTGTTAAGGAATCTTTTCATTAGTTTAATATTATACTTAAATACAGAACCGTATGAAATTTCTTTCACGGTAGTTATACGTGCTGTGAATTACAATATGAAGATCATGGTCGTCCACAAATAATCCTTTTCAACGTTCAAAAAGTACGTCTTGGCGTCTGTCAGCCAAAGGGAACAGTAAGTCTGTATCAGAAGTCGTAGAAAGTCCATAAATATATATTTTTTCCTCACGATATGAAATATGGTTTCTGTTGAAACCATACGAGGGTTCTCTTTTTCATCCTCAGCGCACATGTGGAGTCTATAGAAGGGCGTAAAGCGAAGCACGAATTAGTCAGGACTCTGGGTAATCATTCCAATATATCCTAAGCGAATACTCGATGGCGCCACTTGAGCTTAGCACCAAGTTACAGCGCGTTCCTCGTTTACAATACAACGACCGTGAGTCATCGTTTCTATGCGACATATATTTAGAGTTACGTTTAGAAAGAATTTAAAATTCCGCAGCATATATTATACTTCACTACCAGAATAGATAGGTCAATTACGAATAATAGTACGTTCGGAAAACGGTGACTTATAGTGACTAAGAAAGCGCGGTGCGCATGCGCAGCCAGTGTCACGTGACTTTCAGCTGGCACGTCACCGCTCAGGTTCTCTATGTTAACTTCAGTAACGCGAAATGTCGCGGCATTAGTCGGCGGCGGTCGGGTGTTTGCTTCTGATTTATTTTATCTTCTTTTCTTGCACAAAGCACTTGTTTTTAGCTTAGCCTATTCGTTATCGTGCCATTGAGCACCTTGAGTAGATTGATAGAATAGAATTGAATACTTTAATCATACGGAAGACATGGCTGAGATGAGAGAAAGTGAAAACGTGAAAAGAGCCAGTGTTGAGCCTTTGAGCAAATTATTGATGTTAAATATACATCGACGACACCAATACAGCGTCCGTAAGTTAACATGAAAAGACATTAGCGAGTGGCTCGTAAATAGCAAAGACTTTACTATGTTTCACACGGCATTTAGACGAAGTAGGCGTTATCGGCGAATTTCCCGCGAGTTTATTCATATATTTATCTTTAGTGCACTGTGTATATATATATATCATGCACATATGCATAGCCAATGGCGGGCTTCGATTCAATTGGACGGGATTACCCTTGTTCTTACAATAATATTAATACTTTATTCAACATTACCCTATTTTATGTTCCAGTTGTCGTACTATTGACAGTGGTGGAGTTTGGCGTACTGCCTCATAATCAAATTGGGTTTTTCTGTAATGATCCAAAAATTTCATTCAAATTCACCGGCGACACCATATCAATGGGTCTTCTCATTGTAGGAAGTATTGTCTTACCATTGATCGTAGTAAGTCTGATTATCATTAATTTTTTATATTGATAAAATTTAAATTCTTTGATACTGATTATAGAGATTCCTAATTGCATATATTTTTTTAAAATTCTAACAGATGTGGATCTGCGAGTGTATATGTCACAATCCAGACAGCTACAGAACCACAACCGGTTGCACTGGATCTCGCGCTAAACAGATTTGGTCCTGGTATGGACATTATGCAGTTGGAATAGTCACATTAACATTCGTGTGTGACGTAATAAAAATTCTAATCGGTGAACCCAGGCCGCACTTTTTCGATACGTGCAGACCACGCGAGTTGCACAATTGCACCGATGGGTGAGTGAATTTGACATTTTAATAAGATCGATTATCATCGTACGATGTTGATTGATTATGAAAGTTTCTTTACCTCTAACATTGCTAATTGAATTTTATATGCGTTACATGTTATAAATATTATTTTAATGAACCACAATAAAGATGGAGCCAGTTTTATGCCTTTTATATATCACATACAATTTCATTATAATTCCTGATAAGAAACCATATCTGGGAGGTAATCAATCACGTTATAGAACATCTATCGCACAGTCTTTGTTCATATGTGTATCCTATTAGTGTTTTCTTTTCTCTTTACAGATACGTGCATTCTTTTACTTGTACCAATACCGATGACGCCTACTGGTTTGTCAGTGATTCCAGCAAATCATTTCCCTCAGGTCATTCGGCACTTTCCAGTTTCACGGCGATATTTTTGATGGTAAGTAATACAGTACCTAGGATAGTAGATATTATAGTATCGTAAAGTATGTAGTACAGTAGTATCGTATGGCATAATGCATACTGTATACATAATATGTGCAACACTCGACTTCAAAGTCTATGCAAATAAGTTTTCGAAGGTGTCATTGGAAAATTCATTGCATAACTTTCAGTCGATTCTGTAATTTAAACTTTAGAATTTACTTATCAATAATATTCGTTGTTCTCATACTCCTTGCAATAATTAATGTAAATTTATTAATCTAGTTTATTGTATTTTAAATATTTTCTATATTCACCAGCTGATTAAAATAACTTTACTTCTTTTTTCAGTGGTACTTCCAAAATCGTTTGCCCAAACGAATGTCCACGTTTATCCTAAAACCATGGCTTCAGTGTATTGCCCTCTCATGGGGACTCGTGTGTTCCTTGACAAGAATAGCTGACAATAGACATCATTGGTGGGACGTCCTGGCTGGGGATATATTGGGAGTTTTATTCGCCATCTTCGCTGTAAAAGTGCTATGCGAGGAGTTCAGATTGAGCGAGGGTGGTGTTTCAAGAGCTTTTAGCGAACCTATAGAAAATGGACATATAAGTTTTGACGATAAGCGACATCAGAGCGTCAGAAAATTGTTGAGCAATACCAGCACCGACATGACGGAAGGTCGGGAGATGCGTGACGTCACAACAACGTAGAACCATTAACGTTTCTCAAATTACGAGGAAACCCATTGCACGAGAATTTTATTTTAAATGTACATTTGTCATTGTGTATTTCCGTAAATGACTCTAGCACGTATTTATTTCACTGTCTGATTCACGGAAATATACGGACAGATTAGACGCTTCCGGTTTGTGTCAATCGCTTCCGTTCCTGTCGATTGGGATTCCTTGAGAAATTGCGTTGTTTCCTAATGACGACATGTCATTAGTTATGAGAATAACGCATGGATTCGTCATGGAACTTAGGAAGGGTATTAATTATAAATTAATTATACAAAAAAAAAAAGAAAGAGAAGTCAAGGAAATCTCTTTTCCTTCTTCCTCGATTCGTTAGTATTGATGATACTTGCCTGATATTTTGGGTCATTTCTTGCACGTGGAATTATTACGTTTCTGTGGAATATCCATTTTTCCATCGCAGCACGTGTTGCCATAATTTTGTAGATTTTCTTTTCGTCAATAGATAATTCATATGCGAAGCGCACAATTGCGATAATGACTCTAAGCTCCAGTGCCTAAACCCTTGCACTTATAAAGTTACGCTAACATTAAGTTGTTAATTCATGCTACTCTGGAGAGTTCTAGTATTATACAAAAAGTTATTAGAGAAATTTTATGTACAAGAGAATTGGTCATGGCTCGATAAAACAAATATGAAATCCGTAACACTACACTTTAAGTGTACGTAAAAATGTGTACATATCTGTTGAATAATTAAGCAATCAATCGATTCAAATTCGTTTTCCCAATTGTGCCATTCCAAAGAGATTAGCTGTGCGCACCGTTGTAAATTATTCGTGTAACGTTTGATTATTGTATCACTGTTGATTTTTCGCAAGGCTCACGCGTGTTTATTAAGCTTAGGCCGCTACGAATTATGCACGTTAACTAAGAAAAGTAGAAAGAAAGACAAAAGGTGAAAATGCGCCTGTATCTTGTTTGTGTGCATATCTTTTTAGGAATGATTTAAAAAGAAAACTTATAAACTGTGATCAGTGACTGTCGAGCGTTGTTCACTTCGAAGGTAACATAGGTGGCTAAGTGATTTTTAAAAGAAAAGTATTGTTTTCCGTCTCTACCTTGACCGTGTTGTTTTCTTTTTAAAATTTCTGGCAGTACATAGCTGTCAGACCGAAATCTTTTGTAAATATTCTCTTATACGACACTGCGTGCGTTTAATTAATTTATACTAGTGTAATAAGAAGGCCATTCAATCTCTGTAACGAAAGATTGTAAAAAAAAACGGTATTTATTTATTCACCTTGGGGCAGCTCCTTTGCCATCTTTCTGGATAAATAGCCAATAGAGAGCGAATGAATTTAGATGAAAATATTTTATTACGTGTACATAAATTAAAAAAATATACTGAATACCTGAATATACTTGCAATAAGTTTTCTTCAAGCCTGTTTCTAGAATCGTACGATAGAAATACGAGTATTTCATTAGAACTTTAAGAAGTAATTAAGATCTACGATACAGCATATCTCAGAATAAATTTACACTTAAAAGACAATCCGAAAGTTACCGTACACTCTGTATAACATGAGGAATCAGCCTGGAGAGTCATAACTCGTGGAATTTCAATAAAACTAAAGAGACTCAAGTGTTACAAAGAAATACACGTATAACCCTATAATAAAACTGTAATAAATCCATAAATTGATCACACCGGCTATTTTATATTACGGTCTAATTACTTCATTCGGATGCTGCTAACGTACCAGTGTGAATGGTACCAGCGTAATGAAACCTCCTGAATTCAACATTGCATACACAGTATAAACACCATTAACTCAATACCGGTGTCATTTCTTTTTAGCAGACTTGCTCTACTCGATCAAACATAAAACTCATCGAATCCGTATTAATTATTTATTAACATGAAATAATTTATTTCCAACGATCCTCGGTTATACAGTGACTTTTTTTTCCTTTAAGATATCCCTCAGTTCGCCACCATTAACGTACACGTATCCCGCCAATTTATTCGAACACGTCTCCCGTCCGAAGACATATGTGTTATCCATTGACGTTAATGAACGACTTACAAACTACAAATCGGCGATCGTTGGCGCCTCGTAAAAAGAAACTCGTGCGAACGAGGATCGCGGAGAAGTGAGGGGTAAAAAAATGGATACACCGATACGAGAAGTACGACGAGGGTGCAGGAGTGAGATATAGGAGAAGAAAAATAAAAAATATATATATATAGGACACTCGTATGAGGATGAGTAAAGGCTTACAGGGACAGGATGAAGCTGAGAAGAGAAATGCGAGAAATAAAGTAAAAGAAGGGAACAGTAGAGAAGTCAGTAATCGTACCGAGTCTTCGAATGACCAGGTTATGTATATATAAGCTATGATATAGTGGAACGAGTATGCATAACAAATTTTTTTCAAAGGATCCATTGTCGTAAGGGCGTATCTTAAGGACGAAGGGCGAGGCGTACGGGACTCCTGCGTTCCAGGTTCAAGATCTCTGTGATAAATCTGCCGCATGTAAATGAAACAATTTCAATGCTAAACTCCTTTAACTGGTCCTATCTGTAAGGATGTATTTATGCATGCTGACGAGGCCATGGGCATTTTGGATAGTTGATTTCTGAGATGTTTGCACAAGGTATGTATATGGGGATATGTGGGGAAGTATATGTCACATATGTATAGTAGCATAAGAAAGAGGCATTACTGCGAGATGGAGTTGGAATTAAAATAACGGAAAAGGATATTTGATCGATGGATGGCAGTCCAGGCGTTGTTCGAATTTTATCGACTTGATTTTTATTTTTGGTATCAGCTGTGTTGATAAGACTGAATTTTCGTACCTTTTTTGTAAAGTTCAATGCTATATCCTTTTAACAAGTATTTCTTAACTCTCAAAAAATAATTGAACTTCAGTCAATGGCCGTAGCCGGATGTGAGCCTAAATGAAATATTTCTCGAGTTAACTTAGCATTATTTAAAGTGACTGTTTAACTGACTTAAACATCGAAACATCTCTTTCGTGTTCACGGCGTATTTTATTTAGTCAGACGGGAAAAAGAAAATCTTTGCAGTCCGTACGGGGACTCTCGGTGAAACGTGAGGTGAAAGAAGTCACAAGGAATTGCGATTTAAGTGGAATTCCTTGGTGTGTTTATTTATTATATTTTTTTTTTTGAAAAAAAAAAGATTTTAAGGATCTCGTACGAGTCCTTGTACAGCAGACAAATTTTCTACAAGGATCGGTACTCTGGCTCACGTCAAAACACATCCTACACAAAGTGACGTTATCGTACGTTTTTCGAGTGGTTATTTTGGGTCCTTAAAAGGCACCGCCTAATCTTTCAGGATGGGCACAATCGGGCCTTGGAAGTGACGGCTTCTTTTTTGGCTACCGCAACGGAGATTATACGGCCCAATAAAGTAACCAAGCAGTAAGCAGATGCCAGAAGGCTTATGTGACTGGGATCGATTAATGGATTTTCGCTAAGAATAATTTGACTCTAGTGAACATCTCGAATTTTCCAAGTCAATTCACAAGTGAACTACACACATTTATGCATTTCTAGAAATGGCTTAAAGTGCTTGCACTCATCGCCGAGGGAGGGCTGGATTCTTATTTTCATAGGATTACAAATTCCTCAGCATATACCCATCCGTATCGGTACATATTTGTTTAAACGATTCCCAAGCAAATATTCGCGCTTCATCCCTCAACTTACTTATCTCCAACATCACCCATACCCAAGTAGTGAGAGTTTTGTAATTAAGAATGAAAAAATTTAACACCCTAAACAATTTATAGATATATGATAAATACCCATTCTTAACGTCCCGTTACGAAATACAGTTTTCCAATGCATCTCTTACAAAGATCTTGGACATTATACTTGGCTTAAAATAAAAGATCATCAAGATCAAGTATATAATCCCAACACGTTTCGTCATCGATAGATCCTGAGGATGTTGAGATAGGTCGCACACCAGAGCTATGAGCTCATGGACCAGGGAACCTGTTCCATTAAGGACTTCTTGAATGCACCTTCGATGCAGCATCGTTGCACCGAGTGCATAGTAATTCCACGAAAGTTTGACTTGGCAAAAAGGACGAGCGATTTCATCCGATAAGAGTACAAGAAGCAGCATCCGTCGCTAGATTAATCTTCGTTAATCCTTTAACACCACAGACTAACCATCAGTATATTCACATGTGGCTAGTGAATTTCGTAGGTCCATTTTCCCTATGCACTATACACACTAGATCGTTCTAAATTGGTAGCTAGTCAAAGAAGAGAAACGAGCCGTTAAGGAAAAGTCAGATTAGCTGTGTAAGATCTGTAAGAACATTATTACCTTAATGATCTGATATTTATATTACGAACACTCTCCAGGCCATTAATGGTATTTCACGATGATACGATAACAGTTACTCACAGCCAGGCACGGGGCTGTAAGAAATAATTTTTTTCGTGAAATATATATATAAATAATGGTTGCTCCCTTTTCTTTCGGTACTTACCACGCACGCCAAGCACTTTGTCATCAGGCGCAAACTATACAGGCTCTCAAAGTTTAAAACCAGTTTGACGTTGGCGGCCATCTCGATTGTATTGACGTTATGCAAATATCATCTTTACACAGGCGTGTTCGACTGTTTGAACAAACGAGAAGTTTGTTTGCTCCACATGAAAAGTCCGCATCGTGACAGTGCTTAGAATTCATCGGGTACTGGTTACGTATATAGTCAAGTACTTGCTAGATATAATTTAGATTGTCATAAAGAGTAGCACTTTGGCTCTATAAACTCGAACTATATTCACGTATTAATAATTTCTCATAATCTTTTATACCTGCTGGTATCCATCGACCCGATCCCTTCGATTAATCTACGTCAAGAACCGGATAATCTTGCGCTTCGAATTATTAGGATCACGTTGCATGATGGGGTTGCACTAATACAATTGCACGCTCACGCGATGAGAAAAGGTTGATGCATTTTCATAGACTTCCAATATATATTTATATATATGACTCCCTATGTCCTGCATATCGTAGGTGTCTATTGCGTTTGTTGTTGTTATCAAGCTGTGATTAATTCTCGAGTCATCCGATCATTGGGATCGTACAGCATCCTCTTGATTGACATTATCAACATCTTTAAGCCCATTGTCTAATTGCTGATTTCATTGGAGAACGTCCGGGTGTCTTATTATGGAGTCGATATTAGCTCGTTCTGTGAAGCTGTAAGGGAACAGCTGATGATGGGCTAGAGAGAGGCTGTATGGGGTCCAGGAGTTTAACACGAGGGAACTGCATCTTCCATCTTCCAGTCTGAATGGTGTATCCAGCGTGGCAACACCTTCGTGTCGTCGACGCGTGCAACTGACTGTACACGTGTGTTCCCGCTCGAGATCCGTGCCAGTTCGAGTACTCGACAAATAGCTGCGTATTTAAACGTGAATTGTTTTAAAGCACCTAGTGGTACAAACACCGTTTTAAATTACCTGGTGAAATATTAGGGGACTTTGCTTATACTCGGTTAACAGGATCCAACATAGTGCTTGATATTTTTATTTTTAATTATGATTCTTATCCTTGGAGTCTTTTGACTCTCGTAAAATAGTCTAACCTAGAAAAATTTGGCATTTTCTTTTTCTCACAGGTAAAACCGGTGTCGTGTCGTAATATCAAAAATTTAATAGTGTCAATTTTATCTTTCAGTAATTTTGATTAGTCCCTAAAGGTGATGTTTACAATTAAAGTCACAGTGCGTATCGCAAAAGAAAATAACGAGTGAACAAAATTATACCTTTGATTTGAATTTTCAATACTGGAAGTGCATTTAAAAATTGTGTGCAAGTGCCGTACACTCTCTGTACCACCAATAAAATTTCATCGGTAAGGACCGGGTAAGTTTTTGAAAATTAATAGATGATTTCTCTTCCAAGCATGCATACCTGTAGCGCACCTCGAGACGTTTAATAAGCAACCATGCAATTATTATCAACAATGGCCAAAGCTGCCATTGGGCTTGCTTTAATTGTACAGCTCGTAAAAGAAATTCTGGAAGCAAAAGAAAAAGAAGAAGAAACAGACTCTGATACAAAACCAGAATGTAGTCAGGTACATGCCTATACCAACCATAGCCAACGTGCGTGCTATACCGAGTGCCCCGGTAACAACCGCACGATAAAATTGAATGCCCCTTAACGAGAGCGAGTACTTTTCAGGCAAGTCCCTTGGCTGGATTTACGCGTTGCGTATACGAGCCCTCGTGGCAAACAATACGGGCCCAATACGGGCCCATAATTGGCTCAGCGGCTTGTCAACCGCTGACGTATTCGACGCAGGACACACTGGCCAATTTGCGAGTTACGCCAGGATTCGCATCTTCCTCTTCTGTCATTGAAATTCAACGTTGACTCCCTAGGGAATTCTTGTCCTTATTTCTGTATGGAATCTGAAAAACAATTATTTCACATTACTCATCAAGGTAGCTAACTATCTTTGAAATGTAAATTTATATATATATATATATATAAATATATATATATTCTTACCGATACCAACCAATATGTATACCTACGCAATGATTGCGTATATGCAGTTAAGGTGCGTATTCATAGTAATAAATTTATTTTTACCAGTAATCGAATCAAAGTCCCTGCGCACGTGGTGCAGACTCGTAAGTCAGGCCATAGGCAATTAATGGTTGAAGACGCGCCTTTATTCGCTTCTCTTTTATATACTGCAGTGTATAGGTACACGCGGAGCACACTTCACGTGTTAATTCACTATAGAACTATCGGCGGTTTCAATGTATACGAACCCTGACGCAAAATCCGTGCGAGTGTCGATCGGCGATAATATGCAAAACGCCGGATTCTTTTCGCTCAATGGTTATTTACGCATCCGAGCGAGTGTCGACGTATTTGCATAGTGCGACTGGAGAATCATCCCTCGTAATTTCGATTTTCCCGCGATAGTACCGTCCCACGAAATGAGAAGATGTATACTGTGCTTAGGAAGACGAAGGTGAGGACGAGGAAGAAAAGGACAAAGGAACCTTCCAAACGGGAGAGCGAGAGAAAAGAGGAAAAATTAATGGGAATAAATGTAAACGCGCCCATTCGCTGATCGTAAAACCTGTTCGGGTATAATGAATGCTCTTAAGGGTAAATATTTTTGAAAATCAAAAGACAGCCTTTAAAGAATTATTATGGATATGCGTATGTGCATCTGTGGATACAAGGATTCTATTGTGTTGGCAATTACCTGTTACTCAATAGAGGCTGTTTTCTTGGAGATGATGATAGGGCGCACACGTGTCTTGGCACGCGTGACTCTTGGTATACATGTGAATGCGTGGAGTATAAATATATATTGTGTGTACATATATATGAGTTCATGAGCGAGCGCGTGATAGTATAATATTCGGCCCACACGATTGTATGTACGTTTGGGAAAGAATGCAGACTTGAGAAGAGATAGCGGTTACGGTCCTTGTGGTATTTATAAATAAACAATATGGAGATAGTCGTGGCTTGCAAGTGGTTAGACGGATAGTTATTATTCCCCGTTAATATAATGCAGGTTATAGCGTTATCTAATGCGTTGGAATTTATTAGTTGCACTCTTTATCTCGTTGGTGATATATCGATGCATCGTCTGTCGTAAGCCGTGGGTTCTTATACAATTTACTGTGGGTCATTATACGAGTGCGTTAAAGAAAGAGAATTCGTTTGTCTTGTTTTTCTTACTTCTTTTTGCAATTTCGAGATTCAAAATGCCACACCCTTCTTGGTATCTTTATAAAGCTTGCCTCGGACCCTGATCGAGTTTTCTTATCCGTGTCCAGGATAGCGTGTCCTTTTTATTTTTCTTCTCCTCTCTTTCTCCTTTTTTTTTAAGAATAAACCAGCCAAAATTTTTCTCTATCGTTCACTGTAATCGGCTACACATGCAATACCACAGGGCAACGTTAAACCTTATCCGCTACCATACGTACCAAAATATCTTTTCTTAGCCTGAACGAAAGAAAGTCACCAAGGTAAATCACTTGTTATCACAGTTTGCAGGCTCGTGTCATTCGTATCGGGATGAGGATGTTTCGGAGTGAGAAAAAAAAAGTCAAAGTTAAAAAGAATAGAGGAGGAAAGGTGCGGACGAACATTCATCACTTGATGGAGAAACGTGGCGTTGTTTAATTCGAACTAAATAGATAAGACAATTGTTAAACGTCAGATGGGTTATTACGTTATTACATGAGATATCAGAGTAATTTATTAAATTCTTATACCTAATAGCTATGAAGAGAAATCAGTTATATTGTTGGCTTATCCGAAAACCAGCGTAAAACAAATGCACGTCCGCATGCCGTACGCATTGAGTTATATGTATATCTATATAGATACGTGTATGTAAGCATAAGAAAGAGAGCTCCTACGCTATAAATGATTTAGGAATTTCGCAGTGGGCTATCTAACCGATAGTGAGAAACATATTAAACGTTTTATCCTATCGCGTGCGCATAGGTTATGTCGTTCCACCGAAGAATAGCATAACCTGCGGAACTCACATGGATGTACGTATACGCAACATGTAGTATGGACTAGAAAATAGAGTATACTTGTATTATTGTATACTTGTTAGTCTATCCAAAAATAGTATTAAATATGACTTATCATTTAGTAGTTAATTCTTTATGCTGATTTCTGTTGATTCCTTGTCTCATTGCCACTTAACTTTGTATACTATTGGATCACATATGTTTTCACTCGACACGAAATTACACAACTGTTATCCAAACCCTTTATTATACAACATATATGAAAAAGACTTTATCAATTACAGTAGAACGATTTATTCAAACGCATCACGTCATTTAAACATCTGTAATACCATCAGATTTTGCTAACTGAAACTTCTATAAATCAAAAATGTTCACGAGACTAACAATTGTCGAATTTTCTAATGCTTCACTTCTATAGCTTAAAAACTTCGATGATTCGAAGCACATCTCGTTTCCCTTGAGATTCGAGTTATCGAAGTTCCAATATATTTGAATACACGTGGGTCGTCGCGATCTACTGTCCGCCATATTGAATTGCCAGCTGTAGCCAATCACGTAAGACTTGGTACGCTTGTCTACAAAGATGCGAGTTGCAATCCGAATTTACGGTTCGTCTGTGTTTCTATCAGCTAAGACCGCAATTCCTTTTTTCCCGTAAGTGTGGCACGTTAATTTATTATGGAGATGAGATCTGTTAACTGCGAGCGCACGCCCGGTGGCGCTTGTCTGTCTTTGAGCGATAGAAGTAATTATTTCTTGGTTTCGCTTGACGTTTCTAACCTTCATTTTGTGTGGTGAAGCATTTAGAAGGACGTGCGGTGCTTCAAGATGAGAGGAGCAATTGCAATTGTCCTATCGGTAAGTTGCATCGTGAACAGCACGATTTGTTACTAACGAAAAGAGTATACTTTATGTGTAGTCTCGCCTGTACGTGCGTTACATGTTACTGGTAAAGAGAAGATGTAGTCTTGATATTCACTTTTAATTAACTCACTTTTAATCGATCATCCAGTATAACGTCAGCAATCAGGAACTCTCCAGTGATACCCAATAATTATAGCTAATTAATTATAAAAAATAGTGCCCATTCCACTGCGTTACCATGTAAAAATATGCCGGGATAGAATCGACCATGGAAGGGTATCGAACCACTCACGTCTTAATTTCACAACCAGTAATTATACGTCGATTGGACTTCTTAATTCGAGCTCAATAAAGGCCTATTAATTATTGCAGTACCCTAATTAAAAATTGTACTTGGCAATTTACGTTTTACCGAAACCTATAATGAACAATATATACTATATAGAATACGTGGGTGTACACATACTTTATAGTTGCTTTATTTGTATCCAACGCTATTTTGTGGTCATTGGTTGTAACGAAATACCCAGCATCAACAAGAGTTGAATATTATACGCACAGTGTCATACGTCGATTGTCATAACCCGTATACGTAGAACGATACCCCATTCGAACAATGCAAAACATTGACAATTAATCATCAAAATTCTCGGTAGCTGTTTCAGCACAATGAACTCATCCGTTTATCGTTATATAAAATCTCTGCAGCCATATCCATCCCACGGGACAAATACAACTAAGGAGGACTTTTTAAAATCTATTCAGCGATACGAAATTGACTGCCTGATATTCTATCTCTTTAGAATATCTAGCGAGCTGCTATGTAAAGAGGTCGCTCGTGACCACACCTAGAGACTTTTCATCGCTGCACCCCGATGCACTGATCTCCATTTTCGTTTTTATCTGCGTCCTCCGGCGCCACTTGAATTTTCTCCTTTCCTCGTATCACCCTTGCGCAACTGCACTTTTCCGGTGGTCGCTTCCATTTCTCCGATCGGTATCAAGAATCGTTTCTCCTGCTCTCGACGATGCATCGCGCGCAGCATAACTTCTGGATGCATTTCTATTGCACGGGACAATAACATCCGTGAATGGTTCTCCAGAAATTCGTGGCCAAGTACTGACAATTAGTGAGAGTGCTGCGGGTGCGGCTTTAGAAATACACGGCGATAATAGAGAGAAGAAGGAGAAGAAAAATGGTTGGAAATTCAGGAGAAGAAGAGAAGAAGGATGCAAAATCATTTTATTAACCGATCTTGGCTGGGTATACGCCAGTGAAAGGGCAGTGCACTTCGAATGCAGAGCACTTAACATGCACTTGGTTCCTTACACGAGGGCATATGCATATAACTATATGTACACATATATATATATACATATATATACTCTGATGGTAGAGAGAATTTGTTAGCCATGAATGCAGCCTGTGACTGGAACTCCTTTCTAATATTTCGAGAAACGAAATACGACTTTTATAATTACATCGAGCCATTATTCAAGTACCATTCAATATAGCATTGTCTGGAAACTCACTGGCTGTACTTTTATATGGACGTATAGGTACACCGTGTAGCTGCATGTAAATTGCATAAGGGTGAATGCATGCACGTTGGCATCGTCAAGAAATACGGGGACGTGTGAGATTTTATACGGAGACGCCAATTACTAGTTAAAATATGATAAAAGGAAGAATGACAAAAGGATGTATTATGGTGGCTATATGAAATTCATCTGAGAAGACGAGAATAACACGGAGAGAAACGTATATAATTGAGGAAAATGATATAATTCTTCTTTTACCTCATTATATGTAATTTTAAGGGTTTTTTAATATCAATAATAATAATGATATCGGACATGGCGTGAACGATGTAAAATCTTGTGGACGACAGGTTGAACTTTTATCAAGCACAATTATCTTACAATGATCTGTGTGTCGGGTAATAATATCAAAGATCCGGAAGGTCTTGATGACGGAGTACAGGTATAAAGGACTAATTAGGTTGGTAGAAATGACAGAAGGT